GGGACCTCGGTGCAGCCCTGCAGGCATCGCTGAACTATGTGGGAGCCACTGGGTGAGAGCCAGAGAGAAAAACTCCTGGTTTTTCAGGGGCCCCGTGGGAAGTGTGGTCCATGGTACAGGTTAACCCTATTGGCTGAATTAAGCCCACCAAGCCTGGATGGGGTCCCACCCAAGTGGACCAGCTTCCTGTCTCAAAGACCTGAATGTGTGCAAGTCCTCCAGCCTTAAGCAGCTTCCGACTTCCTGTAATGGGGGAGGGAGGCTTTGGTGTGTAGAAGGACAACCCTTAATTCTGCTTCTAGCTACCTAACAAAACCTTTTTGGAGAGCTTATGTGGGTAGGGAGTCCCTGGGAGACATAAACAGTTACAAGCTCCACTACTAGCTCAAGGGGTGGTGGTTCAAGCCCCCCTGCCCCAATATCCCCAACAAAAGGCACCCCGGATAACAGGCCTGGTGATCTGCATGGGAAACAATCACAGCCTTGAGCTCCCTCTGGAATGTCACCAAGGTCACTGACAATATGTGTCCCAAACTCAAACTCACTGCCATCAAGACATCCGGCTCAAGGAGGTCCTGTAGGACTGCCCCCATCGAAGCATTTCACACTGAACCGTACATGTCAAATAGTGATTCTTTTAAACCTATATGCCACAGTTTTTAAAATTCATTGATTTCAAATGTCAAATGTTTCTCTAATCATTCAGATTTGCCTTGTATGTTTCACGGTTTGTTTATTTTTGACTGTTTCTGGAGTACTAATCCCCCTTTCTTATATTCTTCGTCATTTTACTAGAGTATACCCTTAAGCAGTTCTTTCAGAAAGAGGCTGTGAGTGGTACGGCCAGAGGGTGGGGCATACGTTATTTTGAAGGTTGGTTTTGCTAAATATGTGACTTCTTGCTCAACACGTAGCTCAACCTCTTTGTAATACAAGTGTCGCATTCCTATACTTCAGAGACTAGAAGCAAAATCTCATCTTCCAGCTGTCTCATCCACAGGACCCTACATGTGATTACCTCTCCACCATTCAAATACACGTGTGTGACACTTAAATTTGGAGCTAAGTGAATTAGAGAGAGCAGCATGAAGCAGCCAAATTTCTGATGTGGCTTATAGTGGCAGCTTCCTGATTCAGTCAGCGGCTTCCTGTTTTAAGCTACAGGCTGCATGGCAGCAGCTGCTTGATTCGCCCAGCTACATCTTGTTAGCAGAGGCAATACGGTTCCAGAGCTAGCAGCTGCCCTGATGGCTTCCCAATGCACCAAGCACAGAGAGCTTTGGCAGGAACAGTCGCTAGCTCCCTTAGAGGTTGATTTTACAGGGCAGGTTTGGAAATCACTGCTAGAAAACCAGCCCACGGTCTCTTTAGTCAGCCAGCACCATAAGTGTTTCAACCGTTTGTTATCCAGGAAATTCCTTTCTTAAACCAGCTAGAATAATCTGTACTTTGCAAGAGAACCCCAATCAACAGGGTAATTAGTCCCAGTGGTGGAGGTGCAGGAAGCACACTCCGGCTGGGATGGGTCCGCTGCCCCGGTTGCATCTGAAGGCAGTGAGGATCCTGCTCAAGGACGCTGGTCGCCATGGTCATCGTTGGCAAGGTAGTAACTCTGGATGACCACTTGTCATTGCCTAGAATGAAGTGTCTTCTGAAGACAGCTAAAGTGGGGGCCATGATGAAACACGAGGGTCAACGTGAGGAATATTGGGATGGTATAATCTATTGGCAACTACCAAATTGATTCTCAACGAATGGTAAGATAGTCACACCTGGTGAATAATTTTTAAATTGTTGTGAGAGGCCAGATTGACTCTTCCATTGCAAAAGTTGGCCATCATAGGTTGTAGTAGGTCAAGTCCATGTATTGCCTATAAATATATATACATAGGCCTTCTGAAGTAGGTCTTCAGAAAGGATGGTCCCAGCTGACATCATGACGGACACCGCATGAGAAATCCTGCATGAGAACCGCCCAACGAAGCACTTCTGGATTCTTGCCTCACAGCAACTACATGAGATAATATTTAATCTGTTCAATTTGGGGGCCATTTTGTGACATGGCAGTAGATTAATGTGGACTGAAAGTGAGTTGGTTATTTTGAACTGTTAGCTTAAAGAACGCCAAGCTTAATTCACTGCCATTGGGTTGATTCCGACTCATACTGGCCCTAAAGTAAGTTGACCAGACGTCCCGCTTTTGGTGGGGCAGTCCCAATTTTTGGCGTTTTA